CTGTGTTTGTCTACATTGAACCTGTAGTGCCCCCCCCCTCTCCCTCCTCATCCAGACGTTGTTGTTTTTCTTCTTCCCATCAAGCCTGTCTCACCCCAAAGCACTAAAACCTTGAAAAAATGGTGAAATAGTATAGGTTTAACGCCCTTATCAACGATATTAGGTTATTTAAGAGGCGGGACCTCCAGTATCTTGGTCTTTCTGCTGGGATATTGTATCCCTCTCAGCCCTGGTGAGCCTTGGCACACACTGACACGCAGGACCGGAAGCCCGCCTCCTAAATGATCTAAATTATGTTAAAGGGGGCGAAAACGCATACAGTTAATGAAAATAAATAAAGAAATAAAATTCATATCAGATCACCATCTGTGTTTTTAAATACATGAGGGAGGTTGGAGAGTGTCACAGGAAAGTCTTCCTTCACTTTCCCTCTGATGTTTCTGTCTGCTGTACCTTTTCCCAGCACGTACGGACCACTGTTATATTATATCGATGTGCTTCTTTTCTCAAAGCTCAGAGCTATTAATGCTTTCAAGTAGGAGGTTGGCGGGTGCTCTGATGTTGTTTGCTCCGTTTTTCTTATCAAACATTTATTTTCCGTATATATCCCTCTTCCTTTCTTTGTACGTAACTCTCTAATACATGTAACACCTATAATCTTTGGCACTAATTATAATGTGACCTATTTGTGTTGCAAGTGCCGTAAAACTCTTACTTAAACCAAACTAATACATTGTACATGCTCCCAAGCCAGCAGGTGCTGAAATACTCTTTTCAGACTTGAATCCTGATGGAAAAATAGTTTTAATCTCTACTTTTCCTCTTGTACGTTTTACAGGACTGGACCCTTGGCAGTAAATGTCCCACTTTAGAAATAACCCACCCCGTCGTGTCTTTTCCAGTGCAGCTGAGCCGGCGGGTGGTTGGAGGATGTCACTGGTAGTGGTATGTCCAACTTCTTTACTTTCCCCCTGTTGTTTCTGTCTTTCTCACTTTTCTTCCCCAGCACTAAATGGCCATTATTGTGCCGATGTGCTTCTCTTTACTCAAACAAACAAACAGCAGAACGCGAGTGTGTGGTGTAGCGGTTAGACACTTCGCCGTTGTACACACAACACATGAGTTTCATTCCCACGTGGGGAAAGTCGTTTTTTGTTTTTGTTTTTTAAATCGAGGATCTCTGAAAGATATCTACACCTAGCCTTCTCGGACAAGGGCGAAAAATCTCGGAGGTCCCGTGTGCAAGTTGCGCACGTTAAAATTCCTTGGTGGTCCAAAATCGATAAGAGTAGGCTTCGGCCGCCACCCGGGCAAAACTCCAAATTTCCTACCATTTGAAAATATTTGGTGTGTCTCGCGCGCTCATGTGACCTTTTGCAGTTTCGAGCGCCATAAAACACTAACCAAAAAAAAAAAAGAAAAAAAAAGAAGAAGAGGATCTCTGTCTATCAGCTGAGGTGATGTGCCCCTTTTAGTCTTAGTCTCAGCCCGAGTTGGCCTTGACAGGGTATGGTCGAAGCCCGCCTACTAATGCCTTTTACGTGTGCCTAAATTGTATAGATCGGGCTGTGAAACGTCTACAATTACATATTATAATACATGTGACCTTGTATAATGAAAGATCAAATAAAGTCGATTCTCTGTCCATGAACAAACTTGAAATTAATTTAAATGTAGATTGTTGTTTTTTTACGCCCCCCTATTATGTCGGATCAGTCCCATTATATAATTTGGTTATAGTGAAGTATACTAACACCCCACCCCCCAAAAAACAAAAACAAAACAAAAACAAACCCCAAACAAAACAACCAACAACAACCCCCCCCCACCCATATCTTAGCGTGCCCCTACGACCCCAGTCCACTGTTTCCTGTTTATGCGAGACTAGTAAGAGTACTTTAAGACACTGCTGCTACCCCACCACAGATTCTCTAATATAGTAGAGAATCTTTGACCCCATTGCGACAGCCACGTTTACCCTGGATGTTGTTCAAGTGTGTGGGGCCTGTTGTGGAGTTGGCTTGGGG